TTAACAGTGAGTAGATCTGATCAAAAGAAATGTTTTTTTCCTTTAACATTTTTGTGGTAAACTTAAAGTAACAAAGTTATAGCCCTTTAGAAGTTTGAGTACCGCCCTGTCTCAATAATAATATTATGTGCTCGTGTTTGGCAACAACGTATATAATCCGCCTTATCGGTTCATCGCATCGGAAACAAAAAAGCGAAAGAATTTGAAACGCTGATCACGATGTTTTTACAGTCAATGTGTCAGTCGGTAACGCGTGAGTGAATAGTGGTGTTTGCTGTGTGGCTCAAACGAAATAAAAAATGGCACATGTTTATGCGGATCGGTTTCCCAATGGAGTGCAATCAACCCTTCGTGCCTTTGTTAATGTAGTACAACGGGCTCGTGAATCAGGTGACTTAAGACCTCATAGGGGAAATTTCAAACATTTTCTCATGCAAGTTTGGATGAGATGAGAAATGACTGAATCAAGTTGTTGAAGTAACGTTGATTGTTATTGGTTTCAAGTCTCTGAAATGTCCGCAGGGAACAACTATCGCCTCTTTCCATCTCTGCTGTGGGAATTTCATTCTTAAATATTCGGATATGATTAAGGAACACCCTGTATAGTTTGGCAATTCATAGTATTTTTAGAGAGACAGAAAATACGAATTTACCCTGAACCGTTTTCATTTTTTCGTGGCTTGATTTTTTCTATTTATTTTATGTATCGCATGCGTTTGATCTTAAAATATGCATAAATATGAATAATTAGTTTTGCTTGTGTCAATCCAACAGTAACAAAGATCTTAGGAGTTATTCTCGTTTTTTTAGTTGATACAGGGTTTTCGAAAAATAGACGGAAATATTCTAGAGGGTGATTCATTGTTAAAAAATATAAAAAAAGCTTCTATGAACATGGGTCCAGAAATGCATCGGTTTCAAGATACGGGTGATATTTTTTTTAAAAATCATTCTTTTTAATATCTTAAAAAATATTTACTCGATTCTTTTGAAATTTGACAATATTATTTGTTGTTTTAAGATGCTAATTTAGCCCTAAAAAGATTAAAATTATTATTTCCAGTGGCGTCGCGGGCGGCAAAAAAATGTACGCCACTGCATTTTTTGTAACTTTAATATTTTTTGTTTGAATCAGAATCTAAAAATACAACTTCTTTGCGTCTTGTATTTTTTTCGTATCTCACTTCGTTTTCTAGAAAAAAAATATTGCACGTGACTGTACGAAATTGGTGTATTATTTTTCTGCTAAAAAAATCACAAGTGCCTTGGATAACAAAAAATCCTAGAAATTTAATGATATTTCTCCTAGACTACTGGAAGTTTGTTTTAACAGACGGAATTGACTTTTTCAACCATCTCATGATTCCAATACCACGAAAACTATAAATATCCACAACTTAAGGCATCAGTGTCTAACTAATCTGGATAGTTTCAAGTATTTCCTGTGCCTCTATCTGTACCTCGCCTAACGGTCAACAATCTACCTACCCATAAATCATCGTAACACACCACTTAACCGGCATTTCGGTAGGTTTCCTCATTTGTTAGGGTTGGCCAGCGGCGTAGCGTGGGACTTTTCATTGGGGGCTCTTGATCGAAAATTAAAAACGATGGGGGACGATCCAGGACATTTCTTTTTGCATCACTGCAGCCTAAATACTAGGGCACCGCGGTTGATATGAGGAGCTTGAAGAAATATTGTTGATCTTATTTTGGAACTGCCTAAGGTTAGTAGAACTGGGTAAAAGCCTCCTCAGGGGCAAGTGAGCGTTAGACAGGTCATCGTCAAGGTGCCGAGTTGGGCTTGAAAAATTGTTGAAAAACTAGTCACTCGGGGCCACCCGAGAATCATAGCACTAAATTGACATCGAATTCTGAATCTACGCATTCTGTTTTACCTAAGAAACAAGCTTTCATTCAGATTACACTGATCAATAGCCAAAAAATATCCTAAATAAAATCAACAAAATATTACTATTTTTAATGTGCTAAAACCGGAATGAAACTTATTTTTTCACTATTAGTTCAAGTTTTAGAGATACGGTAATTATATGTGTTCCTGCTGTGACAGTGTTAATATACTGTAATTCACAAGAATGCTACATACGTGCTACATTTTTATATTCGGCAAGGAAAGATGATGTAATCGGCATGATTGTGTTACGTTATACATACGTGTACATTACATTATATTGTTTTATATTAGCCATTTTTTCCTCAGTTGGCTGACAGCGTTCATGCAAGATGTCTCGAAAGTGTGTAAACAATCCAGATCAGTTTTGTTACGTGTGTGGTGATGTGACTTTTGCGTCTCAGAGACGGTCTATTACTCCGCTAATAACAAAGGGATATCAGCTTTATTTCGGTTGTAAACTAGGTGATCAAGACAAACAGTGGGCACCCCACATCTGCTGTAATACAAGTGCTTCAAGTCTGAGGAGCTGGTTAAATGGCAAAAAACGGTCTATGCGCTTTGTTGTCCCAATGGTTTGGAGAGAGCCTACAAATCATATTAATGATTGTTATTTTTGCATGGTACCTTGTGTTGGACAAGCCACAGGTATGTCCAAGAAAAAAAAATCGGTTATTAACTACCCAAACATACCATCTGCGATGAGACCTGTGCCTCACAGTGACGAAAATTCTACTCCAAAACCCCCAGAATCCTACACTTGCGAATCAGAAAACGAATCAGATCATGGCGATCGAGTGATTCGTCAGGAAGAAGATATGCCATCAACGTCAAGAGATCCTGATTTTATACCGAGCACGTCATGCCACCAACCGCACAAAATAACACAGTCAGAATTAAATGATCTTGTAAGAGATTTAGAACTTCCAAAATGTAAGGCAGAGTTACTTGGATCAAGACTGCAGCAGTGGAACTTGTTAGAAGACGATGTTTCGGTATGTGTTTTTCGTAAACGCCACAAAGACTTAGAACCATTTTTCAATATGGAGAATAACTTGGTTTTCTGCAGTAATATTAACGGCTTACTGGCGGCTTTACATATAAACTATAACCCAGAAGAATGGAGATTGTTTATAGACAGTTCAACATTGAGTTTAAATGAAAGAATCATATGACGATATGAAGTACCTATTGACATGCATAAAATACGATGAGCACCAATGGCATATTTGTGGCGATTTGAAAGTTGTTGCACTTTTACTTGGGCTGCAGCTAGGCTACACAAAGTTTTGCTGTTTTTTGTGTGAATGGGACAGTCGGGCAAAGGCACTTCATTACACCAGATAAAACTGGCCTGTTCGTCAATTCCTAGAGCCAGGTCAAAAAAATGTACAGCATATGCCATTAGTAGATTCGAAAAAAATTTTATTACCACCACTGCATATCAAGTTGGGCCTAATGAAAAACTTTGTCAAGGCAGTAGATAGAGATGGGTCAGCTTTTCAATACCTGCGTCAGAAATTTCCAAGACTAAGTGAGGCAAAGGTTAAAGAAGGTATTTTTGTTGGGCCACAGATTCGAAATATTTTGAAAGATACACAGTTTGAAAACACTTTAACAGGTATTGAAAAAACTGCTTGGAATGATTTCCGTCTGGTGGTCACTAATTTCATGGGAAATAGAAAAGCTGACAACTATAAAACCCTTGTCAAAAATATGCTGTCATCGTATCAAAAGATGGGCTGTAATATGTCTCTTAAGATACATTTCCTACACTCACACCTGGACTTTTTTCCTGACAATTGCGGAGCCGTAAGTGATGAGCACGGCGAACGTTTTCATCAGGATATTTCAACAATGGAAGTGTTGCCAGTATCTTGAAAACGAGGCATTTTCGGATGGGAAGGGGCATGGATTAGGTTTCAGCGACCCAAAAAGCATATTATAAGACATGTTGCGTTCACGTTGCCGACTGACACATTTTGTGCCTTTTCGGTAACAATATGATGATAATTTTATGTTAAAATGCTTTAATGCGGCTCAAATGACCTTTATTCCACGTATTTTGGGATGCCAATAGTGAATCCGAGGTCGTTTTACATATATTATGTGATCCCGTTTATCATGTAGGTCTAATTATTTAGCGAAAAATTACAAAACTATGCATTTTTTGCGACTTTAAGGTGCTAAAAATCCATTTTTACTATCGATGGCTACATAAGAGCGAAGCTTTGCAGAACGAGGTAATTTGGGGCGCTGAATATGAATATCACAGTGAAAAAACTCTAAAGTGTTATCAGACTGGATTTAGGGTGAAAAGTTGACAGGAAAGCATTTTTCCGGGCTAGCCGTAATCCCTAGCACTGTATCGACATCGACATCTACGCACCCGATTTACCCAGAAAACAAACTTCCATCTCGATCATAGACGCACAAGGGTTTTTTGAAATTTTTGATTAGTCGTTTTTTGACAAAGTTGAATTCTTGCCAGTATCTGGAAAACGAGGCATTTTCGGATTGAATTGGCACCGAATTTGGTTTCAGCGGCCCAATAGACGCGTATAAGAGTGATTGGGTTCACGTTCCCGACAAAGCCATTTTTTGCAGTTTTGTAACATATACAAGTCGTGACAAAAAATCATACACAGGACCGCATTTTAAAGGGGGTGTTCTATACATAACATTTTTACCTAGAGGAAGTTTAAAAATAAAAAACAGTTTTTTTAATATGTTCAAAACCGTCAAGTAGAATGAACTAAAATTTGGTATGTGGATTTACCTAAGTATTGTCCACATTCAAAAGTCTTCACTGAAGATTAAGTGCACCAGTGGCGGAGATACAGGGGATTAGAGGCATTACTTTTCCAAATAAAAATAGTTTCATTTTTGGTCACGACTTGTGAATCACCCCGTACACCCTTTTCTTTCAAACGAATGAGTAACAAGTACAGAGTCAATCTACTTGTCGCCATAATAAATAATAATTTAAATAGATTATAAATTTACGCGTAACTAAAAGAATAACCTTTTTTTTGGCTAGCAATCATGCGTTCTTTCGGTTGAATACGTTTTTGTTTCTTTGTTACAGTGGGCTGAACTTCCAAGACCTGATGCTCCGGCAAGGTGCCATCGACTCCCCTCCAAAATGTCCCTTCATCATGGGCTTCGAATGTGCCGGGGATGTCGAACAAGTTGGGGAGGGCGTTGAAGGGTTTGCGGTGAGTGGAGGACAATATTGATCAAATCGAATTACTTATGTATTCAGAATGTTCTGCGGGATGTTAGTGTCCCTGTTCACACCGTTCTCGTTTCAAGATGAACTGTGTGGCTTCGTTACACTCCTTTTTTTGAAAACAAACCAGTGGCGTATTTGAACGGCGGGCCCGGGGTTTGTGACTGTGGCCTTTCGTACATTTACGAGGGCGGACCGATAAGTACTTAGCCTACAAAAGAATAACGAAGATTTTGGAAAAGTGGCGATTTATTTCAAAACTTTTCTCACAGCTTTTAAGGTTACTTGCCAAACTCTCGTAGTACATTTTTTTTCCAGTACATCCAGTTAAAGTTGAGCAAAGTTTTACTTTGGAATACTTGGTTGGGAAATAAGTGGCAATTTTTCCTGAACGAGAAAAGTTGGCAGTAAGGTTGAGATACCAGTTTGAAGATGCATTATTCATCATTACATTGTAAAAATAAAATCCAAAAAAGTTAATATTTGTAGTAACAGGAGTTGACAGACTGCCGTAGGGTGTGAAATTTCTATATCTTTTTCAAAGACCTATAATTTTCAAAACACATACATAAAATTTTTTTAAATATTTTTCTGGTAGCTGTTATGACTTTGCCTATCACCCGGTTCCGGCTTGACGTCGACTTCTGGGACACCCTGTATGTACAGAATTTTTTCTTTGTATCCAACTCCTAATGAAGTGCAAACATGAAATTTGTCCTTACACTGGCTGGCTCGTCAGGCGAATTTTGGTTTGTTTAATTCCAAGAGAGACGTTTGATAGTCTCTATGACTGAATTGATAACCACCGCGCCATTTCAAATTGTCTAGTACGATGATCCAGTCAGCGGCCACTCCACTAAAATTTGAATAAATTCTGCATATGTAACAAGAACAGGTAAATAGTGCAACAAAAAATAGGGACGATCGGAGAAGGGCAGATCTACAACGTACCAAAAAATGACCCTAGTAAAAGTTACACTGTTTTCGAGATATTCATCTTTTTGTCTGTCTTTTTTTAGTTTGCTGTGCCTAGAAATAACATGATATCTATTTGATTTTTTTTTAAAAATATCCTCATATAGTTGGTCCGCTATTTGAAATATCATTTTCGATAAATACAAGTAGGTAAACTTGACAAACTAATGTCTTCGTAATTTTTATTTTAGAAAACTATGTTATTCAACTTTGGTATTCCGCAATGAAAAAAAAATGTCAACAACAAAAGATAGACCAAACGAGGAAATTTTCCGAAAAAGACAAACAAAAATTAGTATCTCAAAAACAGTGAAAACTCAACTTGCTGCGAGACGAGACTTCAAGAAAATCAGATTTATCGAAAAGGAAAAGTGATAAGAACAAAAGTAATCACTTGTTTCATTCTTCCATAAAAGAGGAATATTCACACAGAATTTCAGAGCTGTACTTATATTTTTTAACAAGTTCCGATTGCAGAAACAATGCACAATAACAAAAAATGCATTTTTTTCCAAAAAAACATTGTTTTCTAGTTATCTCTATACACACCATGAAATTATCAGATGAAACTGATTTAGACTACTGCAAACAGAAAGTTGAAATAAAATCTAAAAAAAGGGACGTGACACCTTAACGTCCTATCTCTAGTCTTCATGCTTATAGGTTCTCGTTTTTGCAGTATTTTGTTCAGGCTATCATAATCCCATCGTTATTCGGATGTCACGGTTTTAAATCACTGACATCAAAAACTAGCGACATCTGATAACGTCCTATTTTTTATAGATTGGGGACAGGGTAGTGGCACTACCCGAGTACCGCGCTTGGGCCGAGTTGGTAGCCGTACCAGCGAAGTACGCTTACAAACTCCCAGAAGGAATGTCCTATCTAGACGCGGTCACCATCACCATGAACTACGCCGTCGCTCATGCTCTACTCTTCGAGATCGCTGGAATTGGCGAAGGAAAGTCCATCTTGGTGCACAGTGTTGGAGGAGGAGTGGTGAGTTTCTTTAAAATGAGTTTTTTTTATGAAGATGTATGAGGTCTGTAAATTAAGTGATGAAACTGGCAACGTAGCGTTCGATCTGGCAACACTGGAGGCGTCGATCACCAGTTTATGGTGTTTATTTTGTAGCTTAGGTTTAGTTGTTTTAGTTTGGGTGCTACCCCGTCCATTTTCTAATGGGATTTTAACCTTCAGCGTTGGGAGAACCATCATTTACACTCCTCCCGCTTTGTTTTGTAGCTGCCTTGTAGCTGTTTCGCAGCCGATTTTGTTGGAAGCCACCACTTCCACTTGACAACCGATTGAAATATCGACAGAATCCGGGATCTTGTGCGTTTAGATCGAATTTTTGGCCAGTAATAAAAACATTCTTTCTTATTCGCTTGACTTGAGTCCTTATAATGTTTTTCACTTCCCGAAACTGAAAAACCACCTCAAGGGAACTCATTTCGGGCTATATAGATGCCCATTCACTCTCTTACGCCTAAACTGTTACGTCCAGCCGTTTGAATCGACCAACCAGAGTTGAGCGCCGATCACCAGTTTATGGAGTAATACCCTTTTATTTTGTAGCTTAGGTTTAGTTGTTTTAGTTTGGGTGCTACCCCGTCCATTTGCTAATGGGGATTTTAACCTTCAGCGTCGAAAGGCATTGCGGAGAACCACCATTTTACACTCCTCCAGCTTTGTTGTGTAGCTGCCTTGTAGCTGTTTCGCAGCCGATTTTGTTGGAAATGTCAACAGAGGTTCTTCCATCTACACTGCTGCTTCCACAACTAGCTAAGCAAATATAACCCATAAACCTCCCTAAATTATTCTTAAGACTTCGTATTCTCAAAACTTGTCAACGATGGAAAAGGAGATCCCATAATCTGCTGCAACATTCCAAATCTAGAGGAAAACTTGTATCATCGGAGTGTATTAAGATCTTGACTTGTGCATACAGGGTGGCCCAACCAAAAGATCGCACCCCCATTTTTTTTAATTTTTAGGTGCAAGGTTCTCATGCAATTTTTACAGATAACGCAAGAAAAATTTTTTGCAAAATTTTTGCATTCTTCGTAGTCCAAGAGCTTGAAAAATTTTTTGGTATTTCCGAAAATTAGAATAAATGTAGAAATTTTTCCGATTGTTTTTTTAATTGAGTTTGTTACAGATATCCAATAGTGACAACAAAAGAAAAAACATGATTTTTCTATTTTCAACCAGATTACATGGTGTCTTGAAAAATATTGCTCCTTTGATTTCGTTCAAATTTTGACCAATTATTAAGAGTACATTGAGGTATAAAACAACCTAAAAACATGACCTTTCTCATTAGCAGCTCCAAAAATGCGGTAAATTTTCCAAAACAAGGCAAAAAGTAACTTTTTTTACTTTTTTAAAATCAATACTAAGTAAATACCTTTACATTCCCTGTACGATCAATGATCGTATCGAGATTTTGAAGACAGAATATTGAAGCCCAATAAACGGGTTATCCGATCCATATTACCTAAAAGAATTTTTTTCAAGCTTATGGACTAAAAAGTAAATCATCCTGAAGAAGGAGTTTATAACTTAACATATTACGCAATATCATCAATAAATGAGGTAAACAATAAAGGACCACGGTTTGAACCCTGAGGCACTTCCGATTTAGTTACATACTGGTACGACTTGAAGCCATTGAAAGTAACATATTGTTTTTGTAAAGATAACTTTGAATGAGTGCTAAAGCTGATGAATTGAATCCATAAAGAGAAAGTTTATTTAAAAGTATGCCATGGTTCACCTTATCGAACGCGTTAGAAAAATCAGTATACACTCCATCTAGCTGACCTTGCCGATCCACATAAATTGGTTAGTAGGATTAGTCTGTGGTCTAACTGTATAGCCCTGTTTGACTGACTTGATACATTCAATTTCTCTGTAACTCAATATTTTTCTCAGATGATTTAAATTCTTGATCCTTTATGAACTGATGGCATTGCGTGGAAAATGCAGAGTCCACCTACTTGACGCCATTTTTTCTTGGGTTTAAGGCGACTTCACGTCCCATCGCGCCACTGGTCGACGTTTTCCATTCTTCTCGGAACTCATTTACTCGTTGCGTACCGCAGATGACACAGGGGCATTTTCCGAGTTTTCTTTCCGCAGACGCCGGCATTGATCGGGGTTGCAGGGGAAGGGGGAGAGGCGAAAAGAGGCGTCAGCAGCAGCGTCGAGGCGTCTGGCGACCGACAGACGGCAACGCTACACCGCCGTTTAATGAGTCACGAACGATCAGGACAGAATATCGCGGTGGAACCTCAGAGATATCACAGCGCACACCGCCCAGGACAATATTTGTGGCGATTTATATTAATTTCGATGCTGAAACGCGAGGCGATCGATGCTTAATCGGCTGCGCGAGTTTATTGCAAGAGCAAATACAATATATTTGATTTGAAGCGACAAGCGGATCTGTGCCGATGAGTTGGAAAATGGGAGACACCCCATTCCTAGTCCATTTCTGCCCATATAAAACACAACATCCCGAAAGCGAGCTTGTACAGGTCCGTATTTTCCTCAGGGGGTAGCAATAAAACGGTCTTATTTTGGTTTTTAGCAATTTCGTCAATAACGTTGATATTATATATATATATATATATATATATATATATTATATATATATATATATATATCCTATACGAAAACAACAATTAGCAACATCCTCACATACTACTGTAAATTGATTCAATTTAAATTCATTTTACACTTTTGTTGCTACTGTTATCATTGTAATTGCAGCTCCTGATGATGATGGCAAAGTCCATTGAAAGCTAGAGAGAATTAAAAAAAGTATAAAGAGTCCTCTTTGCTTAAATTTTGTCGAAGTACCCAACAAAAGGCGGAAGCTTTAATTTTTCACCTAACTGGTCTAGACGACAATGACCACGTCTCAAGTTATATATATATATATATACAGGTGAAAAATTGAAGCTTCCGCCTTTTGTTGGGTACTTCGACAAAAATTTTAAGCAAAGAGGACTCTTTATACTTTTTTTATTCTCTCTAGCTTTCAATGGACTTTGCCATCATCATCAGGAGCTGCAATTACATTGATAACAGTAGCAACAATAGTGTAAAATGAATTTAAATTAACTTAACTTACAGTAGTATGTGAGGATGTTGCTAATTGATGTTTACGTTCAGGATGAGGGAATTGCAGCTCCCGATGATGATGGCAAAGTCCATTGAAAGCTAGAGAGAATAAAAAAGTATAAAGAGTCCTCTTTGCTTAAAATTTTTGTCGAAGTACCCACCAAAAGCCGGAAGCTTTAATTTTTCACCTAACTGGTCTAGACGACAATGACCACGTCTCAAGTTATATATAAATACATATATATATAGGTGAAAAATTAAAGCTTCCGCCTTTTGTTGGGTACTTCGACAAAATTTAAGCAAAGAGGACTCTTTATACTTTATTAATCTCTCTAGCTTTCAATGGTCTTTGCCATCATCATCAGGAGCTGCAATAACATTGAGAAAAATAGCAACAATTGTGCAAAATGAATTTTAAATTAACTTACACAGTAGTATGTGAGGATGTTGCTGAATGTTATTTACGTTTTGGTTGAGGGAAACACCGATTAACCTGGTGAAAGCTGGACACATGGTACAATCGTCAAAATTAATACAAACTACACACAGCTGTATGTCAAGAACAAATTAAAACGGATTAAAAATATTTAAAACGAAAGTTAAAAATTACATCGTGAACCACCTGACGATTGTACAAAATGGTGGGCATAGAATCATAAGTAAGATGAACCTTTGACAGATGGAAGAAGGTTAGTAGTGTCCATGTAGATGGATAGAACGAAAATTCTTTTGTAAGGTGTGTGCTAGGTTGCCAAATCACTTCAGATGGTGTGATTTTCAAGATATGTTGTGTAAGAACTTGTCAACCGACCAGAGGCAGTCGAACTAACTATATTGTTGATGAGATGGACAATTGAATTAACAATTATTATTTTATTATGAGAAAACAATCCTTGTCCTTATTCTTGTTTTCATCTGTTTCACCACGTTAGTTTATGGTATGACTAAAATTGAGGAACCGGCCTGAGGCCATGGGTTTCTGGTACCAGTCTACCAATAAACTATTATAGTTGGTGCGGATGAGTCTTGCGTCAAGAAAGGGGACAGACAAGTTCTCATCTTCTTTTTCAATGGTAAATTGGATGTAGGGGTCATAGCTGTTAATTTTTCACCTAACTGGTCTAGACGACAGTGACCACGTCTAAAGCTTTATATATATATATTGACGAGTAAGTTGACTGAAAAATCTAAATATTTTCCGTATTGGTTGCTAGCTTCATATTTGTGTTTCAGCTCCTGATGATGGCACCATAGCATGCCGAAAGCTCGAGATTACCGTTAAAAGAGTTTGCTAAAGCCTAAAATTTTGCCAATTTCCCAATTAATAATTAATTGTATTTCTTAAACAACTGGTCGTTGGCAATGGCAATGACTACTGCTCGTATATATATATATATACATATAGGTGAAAAATTAAAGCTTCCGCCTTTTGTTGGGTACTTCGACAAAATTTAAGCAAAGAGGACTCTTTATACTTTTTTTAATTCTCTCTAGCTTTCAATGGACTTTGCCATCATCATCAGGAGCTGCAATTACAATGATAACAGTAGCAACAAAAATGTAAAATGAATTTAAATTGAATCAACTTACAGTAGTATGTGAGGATGTTGCTAATTGTTGTTTTCGTATAGTATGAGGGAAACGTCCAGTAACATGGTGAGAGCTGGATACATGGTACAATGGTAAAATTATATAAAATATGACAAGACAAGTTAAAGACAGATTAAAAATTATTTAGAAAACATTAGAGCATTACGTCGTGAAGCCACTTGATGATTGCACAAAATGGTGGTCATGGAATAATGAGTGAGATGAACCTTTGACAGAAGGCCGAAGGTTGTCAATGTCTGTTTTGAAAGATGGAACGA